TTGGTCGATTTCATTCAAACATTCCTCCCTTTTCAAGTACCGATACACAAACAAATGATAATGAGCTCAGATGACCTTCTACTACAAGTTACAAAAATTGCCTTAGTTGTGAAAAGCAGGTTTTCCACAAAGACATGACTATGATTTCATACAGCAAAAGAACATTAACCATCACAATATATATCAGGTTGGAAGACATGACTTACAAGATGTTTTTTGCAAACCCATGAGAGAAATGGGAATTTTTAAATATTTCTGGTTCACTATTTGTAATAACTTTTTAAAAATCAGAAAAACAAACCAAAAAAGAATGTTGGCTTTCACAGAGTACAGTGAGCTTAGTAAATTTTGTTGGTTATAATTGTATAGAGAAGTCAAAATCAGATCATGGAAACTTCAGAAAATAAACAGCAGGGAGATGTTTCACATTCACAATTGAGTCAAAGAATCACAACTTTTGGCTCCGAGGCTTTGCTCCTGAAATCAACGAATGGCAGGTCCTACTGAAGGACCAGGGCAAGAGCCCCTGCTACACTATTCTTCCAAAGAGACTTTTCAGAGCTCTCTTCACATCCTTATTCCTCAGACTGTAGATGAAGGGGTTCAGCATGGGGGTGATCGTAGTATACATCAACGAGGCTGTTGCCTTGGAGTGTGAGCTCTGGGCTGCAGCAGAACTGAGATACACACCCAGGCCTGTGCCATAAAATAGGGAGACAATGGACAGGTGAGACGCACAGGTGGAGAAGGCTTTGTACTTGCCCTGAGCTGATGAGATTGCTCGGATGGAGGAAGTTATCTTAGCATAGGAGTAAACGATGCCAGCGATGGGGCCAATAACCATCAGTACAAGTGCAGAATCCATTACCACCTCATTAAGGAAGGTGTCAGAACAAGCAAGTTGGACCACATGATTAGGTTCACAGAAAAAGTGGGGGATTTCTAAGTGTGTGCAGAAGGACAGTCGCAACACCATTAAGCTTTGAAACAGGGCATGCAGGACACTCAGAATCCAGCACACCACAACCAGCAAACCACAGAACCTGGGATTCATGATGACAGTGTAGTGCAGCGGGTGGCAGATGGCCACATACCTATCATAGGCCATCACAGCCAGGAGGAAGTTGTCCACTTCTATAAAAAACAAGAAAAAGCACATCTGTGTGATGCAACCTGCATAAGTAATGACCTTGCTCTGTGTCTGGATGTTCACCAGCATCTTGGGGATGGTGGTGGAAGTGAGGCAGATGTCCACAAAGGACAGGTTGGAGAGGAAGAAGTACATGGGCGTGTGCAGGTGGGAGTCTGAGATGGTGGCCAGGATGATGAGCAGGTTTCCCAGCACAGTGACCAGGTACATGGACAGGAAAAGCCCAAAGAAGAGGGGCTGCAGTTCTGGATCCTTTGAAAATCCCAGCAGAAGAAATTCTAAAACTCTTGTATTGTTTCTTGTTTCCATGTGATCCATGTGACTACTACGAGAAAAATAGATATAACTATTCTTCACACATGTGGACACTACTGATATAGTTAAGTGTTGGCATTTATATTTTCCAATAAAGAAAATGAATTCTGTTTGTTTCTGGGTCCGGTCATCCTAGGCATCCCTAGTGCCATTACTGATTCGGAATTCCCGCCTCACTCTAACCTTTTCCGCAAGAGCTCATGTATTGAATAGTTTTAAGGAGAAATTACTTCTTACTATACAGGAGCACAATTGGAGTGCCAGACGCCTTCCAGGCACTGTACAGGCCTCAACAAGAAAAACTCCTATATCCCAATAATGGGCAAAGAGCATATGTAGATAGTCAAATTACGGTTTATTTCCTCTTTGTTCTGGGGATATGGCCTATATTTGCATATGCATTCTTGCATTTCCATATGCATAACTCATCTTGTACATTTTAAATGCATGTGGTCCTTTTAGTATTAATTATACCTCAGCAAAGCTGTTAAAAAAGAAATTGTTGTATGTCATGCCATAAAAGAAAGGTGTCTAAGAAAACACTTCTTGCTTTCCTCCTCCACGCCCTTCTGCCAGGATATGGATGTTGCGTCACTTGGGACCCAGAGTCAACCTTCTATAAACTAACACTTCTAACACCCATAAAACCATGAGCACTACACAAATTTTCCTCCTCTCAAATTGGTCTTTTGGTCATAGCAGCAAAATACCTGACAAAATACAGTGAATTAAAATAAACAAGCTGCCTGTTACCTCTGATGGTTGAGTTGCCCTGTGTATTAAAACAACCACTTGGAACATATGAGGAACCACTTGGAACATATCCCCTAATGACAGCACACACGCAAACACACTTAATACCACTACTACTCAGCCTCTGACCTTCTCACCACCTATTAGGTGACTTGTGTATACATTGCAAGCTGGATGGAGCAGACTGTCCATCCTCTAATATAGAAATGGTAGCCAGAAAGACCATTTTGTAATCCTCCTTTGGACAATTAAACATGGGACTAAATTTTCTTAGATTCTGTTCTGCATTTAAAGACACAGAGAGGCGGGGAAGAAAGATGTCAATAAATGCAGACAGGAAAATAGAGAAATGAAATGGATAGGGGAAAGGGTGTAGTAAGTCTTTCTCTCCCTGAGAGTCTAACAGGAAGGGAGCGCTTCCCTTGGGTCTGGTGGGATTCCAGCACAGGTTCCGTCTCCTGGAAGACCTGCAAAAATAAGGAGGGAGCAGGAGAAAATTACCCAAAGTCAAGAATAGTGGTGTCTTCGTAGCTTCAAGTACACTACACGAAAATGATCGCAGACAAAAACGAGGAAGGGGAATAAACTAAAAACTCTCAAGAGATATATAAAAAGTACAACAAACATTTGGCATGTATTTGGATGAAAGAGAATATTCTGTTTTTTTCTGTTTTTTTCCAAAAGTTATTTGACCAATCAACTGTGAAATGGAAACGGTCATGGGATGATGAAGCAGATCCCTTTCTCACTTGGCTTATGGGGCATCTTTCATTTTTTCTGGGTTTTTTTTTTTTTTGGGGGGGGGGGCCTTTGGGTCTTAATGTCCCATCTGGAAAATCCCATGGATACACTCCAGCCCTTGTGACACAAGATCCAAATAGCAGAGACCTTGTGGATTTATTCACTTTTGTGTTTCCTGAACAGGATGCAAAGTTACGTAACAACTAACTTTAAAAAATGAGACTTTTATACTTCAAAGAATGCAATGAGGATGAAACCAGGTTCAATGCAGTCATTTCCAAAAAAAAAAAAACATGCTATTAAACAAATGGAATGGAGCTTCAGACACTCACTGAGCAGGGCCACAGTGGGGCTCAGTGGTAGAGCACTTGCCCAGCACGCACCAGCCTCTGGGTTTGAGCCTCTGCACCACAAACAAACAAAACAAAGAAAGAACTGGGAAAGGGTATCAAACGGCAAATTAATATACCAATGTGAGTTAATAGTTAATTCCCAAAGACTTTGACATAGTAGACTATAACAGACAACGTTCCCTTGACATTCTGACAGGTGATAAACACTCAGTTATCCCTTGTTTTTTGAGTGAATCGGGAATGAAGTCTGAGTGTATGTGAGCATTTCACATAACACAGAGTTAAAAACTATGCAGCAGCAAAGGATTACATGGTGAAATAAATACATACAAAATGACCTTTTGTCTGGGAGAAGATGAACCTGGCCTCCTACCTCACACATTTACCAATAATCAGACAGGTTAAAGACCTCAGGGAAAAAAATACAAAATACATTTGAGATGAACATCTGGACATTATATATGAAATCTACAGTGAGCAGCAAATCAGGTGCAAGAACTCAACAGTAAGAAGATTGACACACCCATGTAACGAAATAAAACTCAAAACTCTTTAATGGTCAAAAAAAGTGTCCTGATAGTCAGTGGAGGAACAATAAGTAGAAAATCACTTGAAATGCTGATAATCTTGGGCAAATACCAACAACAGGGAGATCCAAATGGGGATGATAAGAATGCAGATTAGCTCCAAGACAGTTGTGCTTTAAGAAAACACCAAAATATCACTCTCTCACACTTCTGCCTGGAAAAAGAACCCAAAGAGCTCCTACACTGAAGGGATTAGAATTTTCAAACAGAGAAGAGGAAATCTCTGATGCGATGGAGGATCTGTGGCTTGGGACCATGCCTTGGAGAGACATGCTGCAGACAGGGATGGCTGCTAAAGGTGAAGATATGCTTTTACCCAAGGCTGCTCCATCTCCTCACCTACAACATCCTGGCCACATTATTCTCCCATGTGGAGGCTGTCCTGTGCATTGCAGGATGTTTAGCAGTACCCCCGAGCTCTCGTGACCCCTCCCCTGTTGGACAAAAAAAAAAAAAAACTCTCTGGACACTGCTCAATGTCCCCTGGGGGACAAATATCACACATGGTAAGAACCACTCTTTGAAATTAACAATAGCAAAGTACATTTTCAGCATTGATATAATAGTAAATTAATGAAAAAATGGAAAGATCACCCAAAAGACTTCTTTCTTCTATGTAAATTTATACTGGAATCTACATTATCCAGCCTCCCGTTTCCTCTCCCTCTACCTTTTCTAACTTGGCTGACCACCATGCTGCATTCCATTAAACTGACCTTAACATTTTCCAACATTTGATTAAAAATGCACTCTTTATACATATTGTTGGGGTTCTTTACAATATGTCAACATATTCATTCAGCATGCACTGACTGAAAGAAAATCTAAAATACCTAAAACAAATAAATAAAATAGGATTTATTTAATAAAATCAACATGAGTTACTTATTCAATATTAATTTGTCAAACACCTGGAAATAATAGAAAATGAAGGATGACCCTGTAATATGAATTCAGGTATCAATATGTAAAGTTTCATTATCTGTCATATAAATATATATGAATTAAACTATGCTTAATAAAGTGATGGTAAATCAAAAAGGAAATAAGCATGATTACCTTCCACATGGTGGCTAAAAGTGACAACTTTCTAAATAATGTATCTTATCTCCAAAAGACCCGGTAAGCAATTAAAGATTTGAAAATGAGGTGGTTAACATCAAAATTGGCTTAGCAATAAGTTGCACAAGAATGCTCAATACTTTTTGATTTAAAGCAAGGACTCAAAAATGAAGAATATTAAATTAATCATTCAATGCTTTCAGAAAAAAAGAACAATGTGCAAACAAACCAATTGATACATTAGACCCTACAATATTCATAAGTTTTCACACATTCCCCACAAATATATTTCTACCTACATTAAAAAAAAATAAATAGCCAACAGGCAGTGTGTGAATATACTGTTTTAAGAAATACATTAGAAAGCAGGAAAGACATGCTCCCACCAAGTGCACAATAAGACAGCTGCATAAACACTTTGCAATGTACAAGCAGCTGGCTGCCAGACCCAGAGGTGTTCAGCCTCACAGGTGCTCAAACCATTGCAAAGGAAGGCCATTACACGTACTTGTACTCACCTGTGAAATAATATTTTTTGTGTGAATCCTCAGAGAAATGATACGTTAAAATGTGTGTCCCATGAACTTTTGAAGTAAGATAATTTTTCTAAGAACCTTACTCGGGATCTTTGCCAACAATACACAAACATCATCAAAGACTTCTCTTCTTAAAAACAAACATACCCAAAAGATGCCCTAACCTAACTTCTTGTCCCTCCACAATTAAAGCCTATTCTTCTTCTCTCTTAATTGCAAAGATCCTTGGACCTCTGCTCTTCACTTGCAAAACTGGACGCCTCCTCCCATCTTCTCTTCAACCTCTGAGAGCTCTATTTCATGGTCAGCAGTGAACCCTGCATTAACCAGTGCAATGTTCACTTCTCAGCTAAGTGTTGTGAGTCAACGCAGCCTTGTGAATAAATCATCCATAAGGACAGCAAGTGGCCACAGCAGCCCGGCTCTGGGATAGCTCAGCCTGGCTCTCCCCTGACCTCAGCTAAAGAGTCTGGGGTTCCATTCTCTCTGCTGCTCTCCTGCAGTGTCCACTGAGCTCTCAGACTCACCTGGAGACCAGCTCTGGGAGGAAGGTCTCCCTGTGGAAGTGCAAGGTCCTGCCTGGGTGGGCTTGATGGTGACTGAAGCTCTGTCCCCAGAAAACACAGCAGGAAGGAGTCAAGTGCTGGGCAGACTGAAGACCTCAAAGACACCTCCACGTCCTGTCCAGCGCAGAGCTGTGCACTGAGGGACCACATCAGAGCAGAGAGCCACAGCTCCCTATATCTGCTCATTAGCTCATTTTCCTCTTATCCCCCCGAGGGACACTGGCCTGGAAATACAGGATATTCTTCCTGCTGATTCTCTGTTCCCAGGAGACCCATTTATCACCCAGGGAACCTAGTTTTTATTGCTCCTCCATGGACCCACCTGCCTTCTAGAGGTCCTGCCTCCTGGCACTTCATCACTGCTTTGACGGAAAGTGTTTTCTGAGTTTCACGCTG